TGCATCTGATCACCTGGTGCTTCTGTCATCACAAGTCTCATCTCATCAGGACAGGCAGACCCTCAGGACACAGCTACTATATGATTGCATAAAAAGAAGAATAAGTTAACCAGCCCTGTTGTACACAAATCTGGGCAATAGAACAAATCCAAAGAACTACTAGTAGAAGATACCTTTATCTTTAAGACTTCAGTACGTTCTAACTTCCCTTCCCACACGGGTTCTTCTTGTTTATTTCTCATGCCAAAGTAACGTAAATCATGACTGAAAGTCGTCACTGTATAAGCCATGTAGCACATGGTTAAAACTCATGAAAAATCCCTTTAAAGTTGCATCCTGGTGGTTATAACTGTAACCACATGTGATTTACAGAAATTTCCCATTTTACGCAAGGAATGAACGCATAAGTGCACAGCTTTTGTACCCATTTGTAATTTAAGATCTGTAGTGTAGATTTCAGATAATGCTGATGACTTTTAATGTTAATAAAAAACATTAAATGCCATTCTTGAAAAGCTATGGTCAAATGTTTAAAAATGTACCTGCAGAGGAAACCCTTACTTGACATGCAACACTTACTGTACTAAGACATTTCGATATCCACAGTGCTCCATGCTAATTGCTATCATAGTACAAATGCCAACAAGAATTCGGAGATCTCATACCGACATGAAAAAAATCAAACACCTCTCAACTATCACAGAGATGTAGATATACTCTACTGTATGTATGGTTTTCTCAACTCAAATTACATATAAATTCTTATGTGAAAGTCCTATCCATGGGCAAGGTTTTGTTCCAATATTTTGATATCAATCATGCAAACGACCGTCACATTAACATAATGTATTCATAGTGATGTTATCTTTAACTAATTATTTAATACTAACATACACTTGTTAGAAGTGTGAAATACCCTAATTAAGAAATAGCATTTTTGTGTTAATTATGCAAATTAGGCGTTCATTTGTTGCATAATTTGTCTGTTACTGTTCCACGTGCCATACATACATTACACATATCAAAGCCTTTGATGATCAATGATTTTTTAAAAATTTCATCATTAATTATGCAAATTGGGTTTTCATCAATACAATTTACATTTAATTGTGTACATCTCCGTCTAAGCTATCTACATGCCAAAAATCATGAAAACTTGTTTTTTTTTTAAAATAAAGATTATGCTGGAAACGCCCTTCATTTCCAGATCTAGAACAAGCTGCTCAGGGAACCAAACCTACACCACGTGTTCCTGACAGGAAATGCTATCTGTCGCCAAAAAGTCAAAATGGTCTGAACGTGGCATGTTCAGGACAAAAGATACAAAAACCAGACGTTCTGCTGCAGTACCAAGGTCATCCACCAGGAGGCCCAGATTTGACCTTGACCTTTGTCTTCCTAAGAACTAACAACACACCAAATATCACAATCCATAAAGGTATTCTGAATCTGAAGTTATGGTAACTACAAGTGCGCAGAGAAACACACACACACACACAAACACACACACACACACACACACAGAAAACAATTTAACTATCAAATGGAAATTCTCCATTTCAAAAAATAATGCACATGAAAGACTAAACTGAGCCAATTATAGCTGTATTTAGAATTCAGATACTTCTGAAAGATTGCGCCATTCTTGTTTACACGCCGTTTTTTGGCGGGAAAATTAACGCACGTGCGGTGGATTGCGTAACAACAGGTGTTCTATGAACCAAGATTTAGAATACCACCAGGAAGGTAAAAAAAAAAAAAAAACTACAAAGCCCGTTATTACACCTTCACACTGCCAACATTACCTTAAAGTTTTATCATTACCAAAAAGCCAAAATATTATTGGCAGTTCAGAAATGGAGAAGTACAAACTGGCGCCATGGCGCCCCCGAACAACTACTATGATAGTCATGTCACACTCACAGTATATAACGCAAAAGGCTTGTTGTTATGAAATACATGTTTGGAAATAAAAAAGATAGTTTGTTGTTTTACCTTTAAACGCATTTCTTCCGAACTGTGTCTTTGCTTGGTCCTAGCAAAGCTTGGTCCTAGTTCTTCCCGAGACCACGCCGTCCTCCATTTTGAATCTCTTCCCTGCCTCACCAGGTCAGGAAAATGCGCATTTCCTCCCTCAAATATCCAAAAGAACGTGTCAAAATCTACCGCAGAAACATCCCAACCATGTACTACACGTATACATACACTTCGAGATACATTTTAGGCGACAAAAACAAAATAATTCGCAGAGAAATGTCTGAAAAAAATCAACTCCACGCACATGCATTCAGAGCTGAACACAGCTGCAGCATCTGGGCTGTACCAAACGTGACCTTTACACGGGGGTGGCGGGAGTACTAGTATACTAGTAACTTAGTTATATTTCGCTCCCAATTCCCCCTCTGTCTTCTTCTCTTCCTGTCCTTCGGTCAAGTTGATTCAATTTCTTCATGTTTAGACACCACTGTTTAATCCTAGCTGTTCAAGTAAAAATCAATGACAAGTAATCAATAGGATAAAGTCATGCAACTTTTATTAATGACCAGAGATGGTCTGTCATTGGTACGGCACTTTTTCCCCAAAACATATTAATACAAGCTTAATCATATGATATCGATAAAAGACAAGTACTGGGAAATGCTACGCTTAGTTATGACAGTTATTCGTCTCTCTCTTGTAACAGTTATTTGTCTCTCTCTCTTTCACACACTTTCTAGAGCTTTATTAAAGTCTTGGCTTCTTTCTTTTTAAAGCTAATCACCAACACGTAAGCAAACACTCGAGCGACTGGATATGATTTTGGAAACGGTCAAACGTTTCACCAAGTAGCTATGTGGATGAAATGTTTAAATATGATACACTTAGTCTTCAAAATATATTGCTTGAGTGACAATTTTCTTGCGTAACGCATATATAAAACGTACCAACACAGATCATGACGTAATATATAACGTTATAGCTTATACATAATTTCGAACAGTGCAGACTTTTGCTTGAATGCTACAGTCACAGTGTTACTACACAAAAGTTGTCTCATTACATAGAGCATCATTCATTTCTAAGACATACAGTAATGTCCTCAGTGCCGCATATTATAAACCACTGGAGAACTGTCAGGACTCTAGTCCCCTTTGTAACATATAATTACTAGTTTATTTCTAGTCTCCATTATGATAGGACATGCCATCAACCACAATGTCCAAAGTGCGTGGCACCCTGCTTTGCTGGGCCGCTACACAAAAGGCTTCAGTCTACTTCGGGTAAGCGGAATCAGAGGTCCGGTCCGGATGCATGCGGCAGAGCTTTCCTGCGTGCGCTTTCGCGCCCCCTCGCAGAAATCATTGGAATCTCAACAGGCTAGAGCCCTCTTATATTCCCTTGTGACTGACAACTGATTCCGCTTACCCTACTCGTCCGGAAATACCATCCATCGTGGAAAGATTGTCACGCGTTCAGATATAGTGTGAGTTACCACCAACTGTCCACCCGGCCCCAAAGCAATGCCCCACGGGGCTGTAACGTTCACGGCCATACGGACAAACTCCCCGCCGCTTGTAAACATGTTCACCCGCCCGGCGCTGATCCAGGTGTTGACAGCCACCATGATATGACCCTGGGGGTCCATGCAAATACCTACAAGCATACCGATGTTGGCAGTGCGGAACGAGAATTGGCGCTGTCCGTTGTGATCGTACACCCGGACGCCTGGAGGAGGAGGATCGTTAGCTGCCGTAACGAGGATATTCCCGTCCCTGTCTGATGTGACGTACTGTAGTCCGGCGCCTTTTTCTTTGCCAAAACTTCCATCAAACGAGCCGTCTGGGTTGAACTTGAGCACCTCATCACTTGCTACTACGATGATTTTGTTATGGCGCGCGTTCACTGCAATTTTTGGGTACCAAGCACTCCGCTCCACATCAAACGTGATCATCGATAGGCCGTCTGTACGGTACTGTACCACACGTACAGCGCCGCTACTAGCGCGATCTTTCCCCACCACCCAAATACGACCTTGCTCGTCAATGTCCACATCGGTAGGGTACATTGCTTGGTGATTCCCGCCAGGCACTTTTGTTGAGAAGAGGCGGAGGAAGGCGCCCTTCATGCTGAAGACTTGGACGCGTTTGTTGTTCGCATCAGCGACAAATATTTCATTGTCTGCGGACACTGCCACGCCAGTGGGTTCGTCCATTTGTCCCGGTGACGTGCCTTTACCACCAAACACAATTGGCTTTGATTTGACGTTTCCGGCGTAGCTCTCTGCAGTAGTACAATAGTGAGTATACTGTTTTAATGGAGGTATTGTTTTTGGTATGTGTGTGTGTCCGTGTGTGTGTGTCCGTGTGTGTATCGCCGGGCTTTTAGGTTAGGGTGTAATGGACATGGTTGTGTCCTAGAGTGAGAAAGTCGTACTAATCACTTCTGTTTTTCGTTACATGACCTCCTTGACAGTTGAGGGCTGGCATTTTCCCCTTGCACAGTAAAGGTGGTTGCAAAAGGAAATTGCAAACGGTTTACTTTGCGTCTGTAATTGTCTAGGCAAATGTAGCCCTTTTTATGACATATTTTCAAACCCTTCTAAAGCTGTGACTTGTACTACTTGAACATCATGGAGGTTTCATGGAGGTCTGACATCTCCGAATTCTTGTTATTCGCATTTTCTTGTCCTATGGTCTAAATGCAGTAGCTATACTAGTACTTCAAAGACTAAGGTAAAATATCACTACCAGTACCTGTATTGTACATAGTGACCAAGGGAAGAGAGAATACAGTTAAAGGTTAATAAATCTGTGTTATCTCTAGATATGTCGACGTTTACAAAATATGAAAACATATAAAGCTACCTTCGTATTGAGGACAGTTACCTTGTGAGCTGTTGGCGGTTGATGGCAGAGCGTCACCCTGTGGGGTTGTGGAAGGACCTGTCTGCCCATTCACTGAACGATTCTGTCAAATAACAACCATTCAGAATAGGGCTGCGGACCGGTACATTGTACCGGTCCAATACCGTAAAAATCGTTTCGGTACAGGTCCAAAATACCGGATCATGAAGTAACGAGTATATACCGAAATAGCTAGTTTACACCATGTATATGACTAAAGATAGGTAAATCCTACCACAAAGACGAAAAATTAGCACTGGAAAAGACGTAAACACCGTCGATTGATTTGAGATCCTCAGTCTCACGAGACATCGCTAGAGTGTGGCTGATCCAGGGTTGTGATAAAGATACTGACAAGTTGTCAACACTTTATTATTGTTTCTGTGTCATGATTGAAAAAGTGAAGAACACGTGTTAATTTGTCAAATTGTTCAGGTACAGGTACAGGTCCGGACCTGTACCTAAACCTCTGTACCGGTACCTGTACCTGTACCTGATGTTACGTTTAGGTACGCAGCCCTAATTCAGAAGAACAACAAATAAGTGTTTTCGTGTTTAAAGTTTTTGTTCCAACACAGGGCATTGTTCTAACCTAGAGCTTTCGACCAGGCACTCTGGTCTTCTTCAATAGAGTGACCCAGAGAGATTTGTCACGTGGCTTCTCTGAAGTGGGATGTCAGCACTGGGTCACAGTTAGAGTAACTGATCAAAAGCACTGGGTGAGAACAATCCCTTGCGTTAGAGCAAAAGTAAACAGTATCTATCAACAAAGATGAATTTTCATGATTTAAAGAACAGAGAAGTAGGTCCACGATGCCCAGAACTGTTCGAACATACATTTTTGAGAAGATGACACTAGTACAAAAGAAACAGCCCAGCTCACCGTTGGCAAGAGATCGACCACTGTCGTCTTCCCAGAGCTGCAGCAGGCTGGGTGGTCAGGGGTGGAGGGAGTGTCCGGAGTAGGTTGACCAGTGGTGCGGGCAGTGTCCACAGGCTGCGTCGGCTGCAGGGAGGATAGAATGTCGATGATTTCATTTCATTTTCATTTCATTTTTATTTATTTACCCAGGGTAAACATGTCGCCGCAAGGGCGTTTTTCAATGTTCCCTGCGGACATATACATTTACAAAATATACTTATTAGCTTAAAATAACAAACAGGAAACAAAGGTACAATTAGCTTAATTGCAAAAATAACATATTGGTAAAGTGCTTCAAAATCATACGGTAAACTAATAACGCATATGAAACAAGCGAATAAAATGCAACAAATGAAATAAATAAAGAAGGTAATGGGAATTTGCATATCAATGTTACAAAACAAAAGTAACGGTTACTATGTTGCGAGAACATTCTGGTTATACAAACGCTTAAACGAGGCGACGGAAGCTGCTGTTTTCAATGTAGATGGGAGAGCGTTCCAAAGAGCTGCACCAGTACTGGACAAGGATTTCTTTTTGTATTGTAGATGAGCCTTAGGCAGTTGTAGTCCCCCCATGATTTGGGCCTGGGAGCATTTGTCGTAGGTCGTTGTTACGATTTTGCTGTCGTACGATTTTCAAGCAGGCTGTGACAGTATCAGCCGGCGACAAGGACCCAAGACAGCATATACGGTAAGAAGACGGCTGGATATTGCACGACACTTGCACGACTAACCCAAGAATGCCCTCTGAGCCATAGGTCTAATGTCAAATATTCTGACATTGGTACAGCACATTAGAAAATATAGGTGCTTCAGGTGCTTAAAACCTAAAAACCCTTAAAAATATGTTGATAGAAGCATAAAGACATATGTCACATAACTTCTTGTAGTTACAAATAGACACTGGTTTAAAGGCATCCAGTACAATTTCAGGGCAGCAAAACAAAAACAAAAAATTCTGGACGAGGACACCCGTCTAATATTGGCATTTACTGCCATTTCGTTTCGTCATAATTTCATACCTGAAAAGAGAGAACAAGCTATACACGAGACGTCTCTTTATTTTATGGGTACCGCCCATAAACAGTTAGAACCGACCAACGATACTAATCAAGGAACTTTAATTTTTTCCGTCAGCAGCATCAATTGATTAATATTGATTAAACTTACTACATTAAAGAATGACAAGAAAATTGAAATTGAAAATTCAGTTAGCCGCTCTGAAATTGCATTGGATGCCTTTAATATGAAAAGAAGAAGAATGAAAGACACAGGCTCGCCCTTTGACTGCCCTGCTCGCTGGTGTTGAGGCACAGCCCGGAAAGGGTCCCGACGAGGATCAGCAACACCAGAACCACGGCGGCGGTTACAGCAGCGCAAACCCAGCGGGATGTACACACTGAAAAAAGGAAGTTTCTATCATGTCATCTTTAAAGAAAGGTTAACAGTGATTCAAGAAATCGCAGTATAGGATTTGATATATACAACACAAACACGCGAGTGCACATGCACGAACACACAAACAAACAAACAAACACACACATAGATACACACACACACACACACACACACACACACACACACACACACACACACACACACACACATACACACACACGTAGTTCCCAAACGCTTCTTTTAAATCAAGTACAGGGATGAGAAATTGACAACTTTGAAACGAATAATTATGTGTCTCACCACAAGCAACTTCTTGAACAGCGTTTGGCACCGGATTCGGATTTAATGCGTTTTGTGCGTACATCGGATTCCGACTCAATGCGTTTTGCAGGGATCTCGGATTCGGGTTCAATGTGTTCTGCACGGGCGCCTGCCTGCTGTCCTGCAAAACGTCAGTGTCGACGTCGCTGCTTGAAGGCGTTTTCGTGTCCTCCTCGGTGCTGTCAGTGTCGCCCTGGCACATGTAGGCTACGGCATACGGCGTAATATCAACATCATCTTCTTCCCGCGATCTAACGGCGTATGGCTGGATGTGGTCATCGCCCACAGCTAGTGCAGAAGTGGCCATGGTTTCCTGACATGACGCTGCTAGCGCTCCTGGCTGGGTGCAGGGATTGTCTAAACCTAAGGCGGGTTGAGGGTGATCATGGCGCCGCTGCCCCACAGCTTGTGCAGTCGTGGTTTGACCACCTTCCTGAAATGAAGCATTTTCTGGCTGGAGGCAGGGATTGTCTAAGGTGGGTTCAATGCGGGCATGCAGCCGCTTTGGCGAATACGTCGGATTCGGAGTTTGCAAATTTGTGGTGTTTTGGTTGTACGTAGGACTTGGATCCCGGGTGTTTCTTTGGCCGACGGCATTTGGAGGAAGGGTATCGGATGGGTGGCGAATGCCAAGCGTGTTCCTAACATCACCTACAGAGGCTGGGGTGGTCAAGGTTGACTCGCATGCTGTTGAGATTTCAGTTCGTTCTCTCGAAGCTGTCTTTGGTTTCTTGATGAGCTGTTTTGTTCGTATGCCCTTTGAAAGTGTCTTGATGAACGCCACGTCCTCCTTGCACATGTATGCGGCGACATACGCATCAATATCGGCATCGCCAGAAGGGGTGGTACCTCCAGTCGCATGTCCGCTTCCTGCTGCAGCATCACTTTTCACAGACACGCCATAATCATCGTCCTCGTCGTCTCCCTTGTATCCATCGCTGTCAACTTGCCGTGAAGTGTTCCACCTTCTTTTCGGAGGAACTGCTTTCGACAAACCGCTTGCCGTGCCTTCTGCTGCCATGTCTGAGGTTGGACCGTCAGCCATGCTCTGAAAGTTCCTCTCTGGAGATTATGTTAGGTACTGATGAACTATGGTCTATGCAGGTTGGCTACCTGCAACGTCAAACAGGTTGTCGCTATGTCGATGCTTTAAATCTATATACCCGCAAAAGAGAAGGATACCGGCCAAATTCCTTGGTCGAGTCTGCCGGGCTTAAGTACTAGTATCGACCGTACTTGATGAGAGGCACTGTGCGGCATGCAGCCAGAAACTCGAAGAATGACTGACGGACTGTATCCAGAGCCTAGAATAAATCTATTCATCGAAGGGACACTTTACTCTTTACTCGGTGTATCGTTTGTACGCGTGTCTTCATTGGTAAACATGATTTTTTCCCTTTCCAATTTGCATGGCAGTTATGATTACGCCAGAACGAAATGACAAAATTACACTAGAAGGAAATGACAAAGCAAAACTTAATATCTAGCTAATTATTTCCGTGTTTGAAGTGCCAGACAATTACAATCACTAGTTTATTTGATGTTATTGCAACGTGACCAAGCATCGTTACTTTAATGTTTCTTTAATTTGGAGCGCGTTGATGAGTCAGTATCAATAGTAAAACAGTGGCGAGTAACTACAGTCTCCTGTCACTTTTCACTAACATTTTAGTGCCTTGTTACCTCCATGAAATGGAAGGTATTGTTTTTGGCGCGTCTGTGTGTGTGTGTGTGTGTGTGTGTATGTGTGTTTGTGTTTCCGCTTTTTTGTACCTTCATAAGTTCATAACGCCTTCATGGATTGTGGTGATATTTGGTATGCTGGTAGGTGTTAGGGGGCGAAGGTCAAGGTCAAATATGGGCCTCCTGGTGGATGGCCTTGGTAGTGCAGTAGCACTTCCGGTTTAATGAGGAATCTCCTTTGCAGCCAACAGATGTGTCATTGTGTGGCTATCGAGTCAGTGCGTTTGGGACCCGGTTTGATTAATGGGGTTCCCTCAGGGGAATAGGTGACCTATTTCAGGTTTAGGGTTTGTATTAGCTGCAGGCCTGATTAGCTGTGTGTTTGAAACACTTAGTGTACTGTATACAAAAACTCATATATTTCATGGAGGCGTGTCTGTCTGTGTGTGTGTGTCTGTATGTGTGTGTGTCTGTGTGTTTGTGTTTCCGCACATTTGTAGTCAGCATAACTCCATAACGCCTTTATGGATTGCGATGATATTTGGTACGCTGGTAAGTCTTAGGAAGACAAAGGTCAAGGTCAAATATGGGCCTCCTGGTGGATGACCTTGGTACTGCAGCAGAACGTCCGGTTTTTGTATCTTTTGTCCTAAACATGCTATGGTCTTGACTTTTTGGTGACAGATAGCTTTTCCTGTCAGGAATAAGTGGCGTGAGTTTGGTCCCCCTAGCAGCTTGTTTTGGAACTGCAGGAGATTTTCGGGTGAAATCTTTAAAAGCCAATAAGTCCAGATAGGAACAAGGTATTATCATCATTTTTGGTAGGTAGGTAGCTGAGAGAGAGATGTACATAATTAAGTACAAATTCTGCAAATGATGACTTAATTTGCATAATTAATGAGGAAATTCTATAATTACAGTGTTTTACATTATAGTACTTTCATACATGTAATATATGTAATCTATGGCAGATGGAACATCAACAGATACCAATTATGCAAATGATGACCTAATTTAGCATAATTAATGCGAAAATTCTATGACTCCTTA